GGAGATGATGGACTTCCGGTCAGGCTCACCCAGTGACAACTCGGGGGCTGAAGAGATGGAGGTGTCGCTGGCCAAGCCCAGGCACCGAGTGGTGAGGCCTGTCCCCACATCTCTGCCTGTGCCGGGGGCCGCGTTGGGTGTGGAGGGCTGGGTGGGTCATGGTCCCAGCTCAGCCCAGGAGAAACTTGGTACTCCGCAGTATCCCCAGCTCGGCGGGTTTTCCGTGTGAGCGCAGCCGCCTCCCAGGTGGGTCCCCTTCCCTATGTCAGAGGAAAAGTGGGGCTGCCGAGGCCTCCCAGGACAGTGTTACCCCATTCTTTCCCGAACCCCACACTCTGAGCTGGGGCCACAGCCCTGTGTTTCCTGTAAGCCTGGAGTCCCCACTGAGCCCAGCAGGTCACAAGGTGTGAAGCAGGGGACCCTCCTGCCTCCGTCTAAAGTCTGCTGAGGGTGACTCTGGGGCCCCTCATGCCGATCAGCTGGGCACTGTGGGCAGTGCCGCCTGCTGACCCAGGTGCTTGCCTGCAGACCATGAATGAGTTTGAGTACCTGAAGCTGCTGGGCAAGGGCACTTTCGGGAAGGTGATCCTGGTGAAGGAGAAGGCCACGGGCCGCTACTACGCCATGAAGATCCTCAAGAAGGAGGTCATCGTGGCCAAGGTGGGGCCGGGGCGGCTGGGTGGGTGGGGACGAGGGCACGGGGTGGCAGCTCACCCAGCCATCCCTTACAGGACGAGGTGGCCCACACACTCACTGAGAACAGAGTCCTGCAGAACTCCAGGCACCCCTTCCTCACGGTGAGTGGGAGCCCAGATGGGGCGGTGTCTCGGGGGTGCTGTCCTGTGTTCTGGGGCACGTGAGGGCTTTAGGCACTCAGACTCCGCTGCTGGTGAGACAGGCCTGCCCGAGGTCAGGCTGTGGGGTTGCTGGGTGTGGGCTGGGGGGCTGTGCTCACCGCCCCCATGTACAGACAGGTGGGGCAGGTGGCCCCGGCTAGGTGTGTCCGTCCTGGGGACTTGGCCCAGGAGGTGTTTAGTTCTGCTTGGTTAGTTCCGGGTCACTGTTTGGAGGCAATTCTCCCGCAGATGGGGGCTTTGCAAAAGCACAGCCACCTGTGGTGGAAGGCGTGCAGGTGGCTGTGCCTGGGAGGTGCATCTGGGCCCCTTGCAGAGGTCCCAGCCCAGCCTGGAGATCTGGGCCCCAGCCACCTGGCTAACCTTTCAAACGCTCCTTGGAGCCTGAGGGGCTTCCTGGGGCCCAGCTTGATGGTGGTGTGGTGCGGGGCGGCGTGGGCGGGGCGGCCATCCTGCCCCAAGTGGGGGCCGCAGTTCCAGCTCTGCTTCCTCGCAGGCCCTGAAGTATTCCTTCCAGACCCACGACCGCCTCTGCTTCGTCATGGAGTACGCCAATGGCGGCGAGGTAGGGGCTGGGGCTGCGGGGGACGGGCCTCCGGGCCTGTGGGCTCAGCCCTGGCAGCTGCGCTGCCCATGGTGGGGCTGGTTCTTCCCAGAGCCTCGGCTGCTCTGCACGGCCCGGGACGGTGCTCCCTGCAGGGTGGGTGGTGATGCCTGCCCTGGGGTGACTTGTTCCTGCTGAGTTAGGGCTTCTGATGCTTTCCAGGCCCCCGAGCTCTCTGGGGGCTGGTCCCTTCCCTGTGCCCAATGCCCTGAGACCCTGCCTGAGAAAAAGCCCTGCAGGCCGCGGGGGCACAGGCCCTGGCCGTGCCTCAGGTCGCACCTCCCGCAGCTCTTCTTCCACCTGTCCCGTGAGCGTGTGTTCTCCGAGGACCGGGCCCGCTTCTATGGCGCCGAGATCGTGTCAGCCCTGGACTACCTGCACTCGGAGAAGAACGTGGTGTACCGGGACCTCAAGGTGCAGCCACGGGCAGGCGGGGGGGCAGGGCCCTAGGGGCCTGGCGGTGCTGACCTTGAGGCCACCTTGCCCTCAGCTGGAGAACCTCATGCTGGACAAGGACGGGCACATCAAGATCACAGACTTCGGGCTGTGTAAGGAGGGGATCAAGGACGGTGCCACCATGAAGACCTTCTGCGGCACTCCTGAGTACCTGGCCCCCGAGGTGTGCACCCACCTGCCTGCATATGCGTCGCTGCGTCCCCGTGTCCCGAGCACACACAGCGCCATGTCCTCTCTGCCCCAAGCACATGACCACACCTCCCCCGGGAGTGTCCCAGACACCCTCTGATGCTGAGTCCCGCCCGTCTGCCACCTGTGCAGGTGCTGGAGGACAATGACTACGGCCGCGCGGTGGACTGGTGGGGGCTGGGCGTGGTCATGTACGAGATGATGTGTGGCCGCCTGCCCTTCTACAACCAGGACCACGAGAAGCTCTTTGAGCTCATCCTCATGGAGGAGATCCGCTTCCCACGCACGCTCGGCCCTGAGGCCAAGTCTTTGCTGTCAGGGCTGCTGAAGAAGGACCCCAAGCAGAGGTGAGGGCCACCCACCCCAGCTGCAGGCTCTGCCTCCACCCCTCACCCCCAGTCTGCAGCTGCCCCTGCGCGAGGGGGTCCTGGCACCTTCCAGACCACGCTGATGGCCATAGCTTGATGTCCTTGGCCAGGGTTGATCTGCCAAAGCCCCAGGCCCAGGCAGAGTGGCTAGACAGGCCAGGGCATTTGAGCCTCTGTCCCCAACCCTGCAGCCCCCACACCCACTTGGGACACCCCTGCCCTGCTGTGAGACCTGGGGTGCTTCGCTACCCACAGCTGCTCAGATGCTGCACCACTGGCTCCCCTCCCCAGCCCCAGAATGCCCTGTCCAATGGGCCGTGTGTTACAGCAGGAGGAAGGGGCCTGAGCCTGAGGCCTGGGGGTGGCAGTACCAACACTGTGGCCTTGTTTCCTGCCCACAGGCTGGGTGGGGGCTCCGAGGACGCCAAGGAGATCATGCAGCACCGCTTCTTTGCCGGCATTGCGTGGCAGCACGTGTACGAGAAGAAGGTGCGGCCAGTCCCCGCGTATCCACACGCACATGGCACGCTCGTGGCATTCCCACACACTCATGCCCTCACCTTGGGAGCCTGTGCAGCCCCCCTGCACCAACCCCAGCGCCTGGTGCGCAGAGGGTCTGGCACTGCTGAGTTCGTCAGGAAACTGACCTGGTCCTTCTCACTTCCTCCTGCCCCTGGAGGTGTGTCACACCAAGTACCAGCCTTAGGGGTCGCTTCCCTGAGGCTGCGCAGGGAAGGCTGGCTGGTGGTAGACCAGGAGTGCTGCCCCTTGCTCTCCACCAGTTCCTCCTGTTGTCTGACCTCAGCCCCTTCTGCTGCAAGGAGAGCCCAGCCCTACTCTCTGGCTGTGCAGGGGCAGTTCTGGCACTGTCCAGAACTGTAGACTGGGGGAGTCCACCCTGGAAGGAGGGAGCTCTTTCTGACTGAGTTGCCATCTTGGAGGCTCATCTTTCAGGGACCCCAGGAGCCCTGGCCCTCATCTTGGCTGATGGGTCTGCAGCTGGGTTCAGAAGCCCACACTCTGGGTGCTGGGTGCCATCACCAGGTGTGCTTCTGACCACTTCCCAGCCTGCCCCTCCCTGAATGCCTGTCCTAGGCCACGTGCAGCTGGCTGGGCTGGGCAGCGCTGGGACCCAGCTGGGTACCTGTCCTCCCATCAACACGGTGCCCCGGCCTTGGTCCCAGTTCCTGCCCTGAGGCCTGCCATCCTCCAGCCCTGCCCTGCCCTCCAAGGGAATGGTGGGGCCTGGGCAGTGCTCAGCCTCTGCCCATCCTTGCCCAGAGACTTTGCTAATTGACAGTGGACAGTGCTGGTGCCCAGGCCAGACTCTGAGATGGGGCAGTGCTTGAGGGGGTCCTTGACTGTGGGACCCGAGGGGCTCTGTGGCAGCTCCTTCTTCACTCTTGATCCTGGGTCATCAGGAGTCCTCTCTGCAGCCAGATGCCAGCAGGCTGCCATCCTGTGGTCCCTGAGCCAGGAAGGAGGCAGGGCGGGCCCACCCTCTGCACCTTGTTCCACAGTCTCTCTCCTTCCCAATTTACAAGAAGACCAATAAGAAAAACGAGAAAGAAAAAGGAAATAAAGTCATCACCTACTGGTGGCAGAGAGGCCCTCTGAGAGCTGGGCTGCACTACCTCCTGTCGCCTGTGGGGGCTGCTGTGAGGGCAGCTTGTGACTCCGCTGACCAGGGTGTCTTCGTGCTCCCACTCCTCATGCCCCTCCCTTCCAGAGCTGCCTCTGTGGGGGGCGGGGGCCGGTGGCTTGTCGCTTCTGACATCCAGGCTGCCTGGAGACCCCCTGGTGATCCGGCTGCTGTGAGGGGCTGGGGATGCTGGGAGTGGGTAGCAAAGCTCATGACGGTCCCATCTGCCCACCTCTGCAGCTCAGCCCGCCCTTCAAGCCCCAGGTCACATCGGAGACTGACACCAGGTATTTTGATGAGGAGTTCACAGCCCAGATGATCACCATCACACCACCTGACCAAGGTGAGGGCCACTGTGCCTGCCCCGCCCGCTCCCTTTTCTCTCCACTCAGAGGCCTGCAGTGTTCTGCTTTTTTGGCTTCAGATCTTTTAATACCTAAATTTTTAAAAGATTCCTTTGGAGAGTGCCAGTGTTCAGGGTGGAAGGCAATGCTCCAAGGGCCCAGGTCCCCGGGTCGAGCTTTGGGGCCTCAGTTTCCTGGTGGCATGGCAGCCTGTTGGCTGTGCTTTGAGAGGCTGGCTCCCTACTGGAGCTGTGGGCAGGTGGAGGTTCGGGGAGGTGGGGCCCGAGTCTGAGCTGTCTACACCCACAGACGACAGCATGGAGTGTGTGGACAGCGAGCGCAGGCCCCACTTCCCCCAGTTCTCCTACTCAGCCAGCGGCACGGCCTGAGGCAGCGCGGATGGCACTGGACCAGTTTGGAGGGATGGAGAGGCAGCCTCGTGCCGTGATCTGTGTTGAATGGGTTTTATTTCTTGGTGCATTTGAGAGAAGCCTGCCGTCCTCCCGAGCGCAGATGGAAAGATGTTCTGTGCTGTGGGCGGCACCCTCCCTCGCAGCGGGGTAGGGAAGAAAATTGTCCTGCGGGTTTTAATTTATTTCATCTGATTTGTTCTCTGGATGTGGCCTCAGCCCTCAGAACAATCCAGTTTTGCAGCTATGCGCAATGTGGGGTGGGGGGCCGGGCAGGTCCTTCCGCTGGGTCCCCTCACTCCATCAGCCAGCCGCACGGGCTGTCACCAGCTGTCTATCATCTCTCTGTGGCCCTGGGCCTCACTTCAGCCTGGCGGCACCAGACGCAACCTCACTGTGGCATGCCCGGCACCCTCCTGGGGGAGGCAGGCACACGGCAGCCCCCAGCACCAGGGCTGTGTCTCTGAGGACGTCGGAGGCTGGGCCCCCTGGGAGGGGACCAAGGATGGGAGATGGGCCAGGGTTTGCCCAGTCGGACAGAGGGGCAAGGTTTCAATTTGTTATTCTGTATCATGTTCAAATGCATTTTGGGGGTTTTTAATCTTGGTGACAGAAAAGACCTCCCCCTTCCCCCTTCTGTGTCAGAGTTCTTGGTGACTGTCCCACCAGGAGCCTCCCCTCAGATGACCTCTCCTTGATAGCACTTGACCTTTTCGACGCTGAACCTTTCCGCTGTCGCCCCAGGCCCGCCCTGACTCCCTCTGGGGGGTGACTGTCCCTGGGCCCTCCACACCCCTCCCAGCCAGACGCTGCCGCTGCTGCTGCACCATGGCATTTTTTTACGACATTCAACTTTAGTATTTTTACTATTATAATATGAAACTTGCCCTCCAAATTCTTCAATAAAAGTTGCTTTTCAAGTTTTTGGCTCACTTTGCTGGGTAGAGGAGTGCGTGGCCAGGGAGGGAGTGGGGAGCCCTAGGAGGGAACCAGCATCCTCAGAGCAGCTGGTCTTGCTCCTCTCCTCCTGTGGGCACCACCACCCCAGCAGGTCTGGGGACAGGCTTCGTGGTGGGCTCAGGGAGTCTGCGGGCCTGTGGCGAGATGGGAGGCCCTGGCTGGCCCTGCCCCCTTGGAACCCACCTCTTCTTCCCTTGACCCCACCCAGCTTCACCCCAGCCAGGAAGGAGACCACTGGACTATGGGCATCTGCCCCCCAGCCTCAGCTGTGGTTCCCCTGGGTGGGGCAGTGAATGAGACCCTGACCACCAGGAAGGCTCGGAGCTAGGGCCAAGATCATGGCCTGGGCCACAGTGGAAGAAGGGCCAGGAGGCCTGAGTGGCTTGTTCGAAGTTGGACAGAGCGGGAGGAGGGGCTGCGGGGGGGGAGGGAGGAGGGGCTAGGCTGGGTCCCAGGTTGCCCCAGAGCACTAGCTAGATGAGTTCCGAACCCGAACAGCGTACAGAATGTGCTGGTGCTGCCACCTGGTGGACGCCTGCCGGAACTACTCTCCGAGCCAGGAGAGGGGCCCACTGCCAAGCCACTGACATGGCACGTTAGCTGCCAGGCTCCGGGTGGTTGGTCAGTCAGGTGACCCGCAGATGGGTCGGGGTGACCCGCAGACGGGGTGGGAGCCAGAGGCCCGGGAGCCTCAGCTTCCTCATCTCTTGGACGGACTCACCATGGGTGTGGGTGGTTGCAGAGTCCGGCCCCTGTTGATGGCAGTTGGCCCCTCTCCAAGGCATTCCCAGGGGTGTGTGGCTGCTCTCACTAAACTGGAGAGGGTGCCCCACAGGGAGCACAGGCTGGGGAGGATGTTCTGGGTCTGTGGAAGCCAAGAACAGCCACATCTGGAGCAGTCCGGAGCTCTCTTCTGGGTGAGCTTCGAGACTGACAGGCTGGGAGACTGACACCGCTGTTCAGAAAATACACGAAACATGACACACTGAATAATGCTCCGAGGGTGGAGGCATCTATAAATAATGTGAATCTTAGAAACCAAAGGGTCCAGCAATCCATCCGACTCTGCCCATCCTCCGACTGAGCAAAGCATTACTGAAAGTAACCAAGGTGTGGGGTGCTCAGGCAGACAGTGTCTCCCAGCCAGCCAGGCTGAGGCACATGAGTGGCTGCTCCCAGCAGGGCCCCTCCGACACTGTGGGACTGCCTTCGGGTCATTCTTACCTTTTTTATGGTAGAGATGGGGGTCTCGCTATGTTGCTTAGGATGGTCTTGAACTCCTCGCTCTGGCCATCCTCCTGCCTTGGCCTCCCAAAGTGCTGGGTTTACAAGGTGTGAGCCACCACACCTGGCCCCTTAGGGATACTTCTGTAGTCCAGAGATAGAGGCGTCAAAGTCACTGGCATTAACACAAACATGACCCCGTGTGATGTCACTGTTACAAGTGGGTGAGGCCCTAGCAAAATGAACGAAATAAACGGAGACCCTCTGAGGATTTCCTGACCTTCCTGGCTACTTCCGGATGGAACCATCTACAGCAGGAGGCAGCATCCCAGGGGTGGGGGCGGGGCTATCAATGAGGGTGGGACGCACATCTCAGAAGGAAACTCCAGGAGGTGCAAGTGCCCTTAAAAGGGCAGTCCAGTTGTGGCTAGCAAGGTCAGGGCAGGACCCTGCAGCCCCACCAGGGCCTGCTGAACAGTGAGGGCAGTCTAAAGAAGTTATAGCAGGACTATGCCAACCCAGAGGAAGCTCTCCTTCCTGTGTCTGAGGTACCTTGAAGGAAATAGTGCATAAAGTTATCCATTTCCAAGACAAAGTGCCTTAAATCGGCCTAGGTCAGCAAACTCCAGAAGAAACAGGATACACTAGGCCCCTGCTTGGAGGGCCGAAGCCTGCTTGTCGCCCCCACCCCCTGCCCCTTAGTTGCCCTCACCCAAACCAAAGAAGTTCAGTCTAAGATGAAAGTTTACCAGCCTGCAAAACAGCTCGCTTGGTCTGTTCTTATCAGCCTGCCTAGCTACTTAGGCCGTAAGTCATATATTTAAAAAGCCCCTGAGCTAGCCAGGACTGCAATGCATCACAGGCTGCAACCAAATGCAGCAGGACAACCCTAAGGAAAACACCTAAAGCCCCTTCCCCACAGTTGCTTGTTGAAACTATGTTGGGTGTGCCTGCCCTTCAGACACCCGATGTTACAAGACTGTCATTAAAAGTCTCACTTTCACTGTTCTCTGGGTCTGGGTCCATTCTTTGGATGTGGATGGGTGAGTTCGTTTCCCACATACCCACGTCATGCTCTTTCCAGCACAAGGCCCGCCTGGAGGGGAGGGAGATAATAAGAATAACTTTAGCCCTTAGACTTCCCTGTTTCAGCAGGTGTGGGTAACTGAAGGCTCTGCAGGTCCCTGGGTCTGGGGGCCTCAGTGTTGTAGACAAGGTCCCAGGAGCTGAGAGTGCCACTGGGGAATGTCAGGATAAGGGCTGGGCCTGCCTTCCCAGATGTCACTTCCAGGGAATCTGCTCAAAGACTGAATTTATCATACAATATAGGTCTTTCATCCTTTTGCTTCTAGCAAGTCTGGGATAGAGCCACAGAAGGGGCTGACAGCGTGTAGTTTGGTTTTGCTTGTTTTGTTTGCTTATTTAAAAAGAATCTAACAATCACTGCTTTTTAATTGAGGTGTCTAGACCATTTATATTTAATGTAACTGTTGATATGGTTGAGCGTAAATGTACTATCTTGCTCTTTCCTACATGTCCCATTTGTTCTTTGCTCCCTCTTTCCTTTCTCCCTCCTTCTGGATTAAATGAGTACTGTTGATTGTCTCACTTTTCTCCCTCATTGGCTTATTTTTTGGATTTCAGCAGTTTTCCCACTGATGTTCTTTTTCTGTTCCAGTATACACACACAATCCAGGATACTGTGTTGCATTCAGAATAAATATATTTTAAATAAATGAATGAAGCTCCCCAGCCTTCTGGGGATTTCACATAAGTGGGATCATACAGTGTTTGTCTTTTTATGTCTGGGTTATTTCACTCAGCTATAGTGTCTTGAAGGTTCATTCCTATTGGAGCATATCAGAATTTTACTTCTTTCTAAGGCTGAATAACACTTTACTGCATGTAGAGCACACTTTGTTCATCCATTTGTCCTGTGATGAACATCTGGGTTGTTTCTACATTTTAGCTACTGGGGATAATGCTGCCAGAAACCTGTATACAAATCCTGTTCATGTCCCTACTGTCAATTCTTTTGCGTCTACACCTGTAAGTGGAATTGCTGGATCAAACAGTAATTCTATGTTTAGTTTTTATTTTTGAAAAAAATAAATAAAAGGAAATTTATTTTTTTTTTTTTATAAATAAGGGAAAAAGGAAAGACTCTGTCTAGGTGTGTCGCCAGGCTGGAGTGCAGTGGCACAATCTCAGCTCATGCAGCCTCTGCCTCCTGGGTTCAAGCAATTCCCCTGCCTCAGCCTCCCAAGTAGCTGGGATTACAGGTACATGCCACCACCACACCCAGCTAATTTTTTGTATTTTAGTAGAGACGGAATTTCACCATTTTGGCCAGATGGTCTCTATCTCCTGATCTCGTGATCCACCCGCCTCAGCCTCCCAAAGTGCTGGGATTACAGGCTTGAGACACCATGCCTGGCCTTCCTTTTTTTTGAGACAGAGTTTCACTATGTTGCCCAGGCTGGTCTCAAACTCCGGGGCTCAAATGATCCTCCTGTCTCAGCCTTCCACACTGCCAGGATTGCAGGCACTAGCCACTGTGCCAGGCCTAAGTTTATGTTTTGAGGAACTGCCTACTGTTTTCTGCACTGGCTGCACCATTTCACATTCCCACCAGCAATGCACAAATGCTCCAATTTCTCCACATCCTCCCTGACACTTGTTTTGTTTTCAAATAACAGCTGTCCTGATGGGTGTGAGGTGGTATCTCATTGCGGTTTTGATTTGCATTTCCCTGATAATCACTTGAGCATCTTTTCATGTGCTTGTTTTGACATATTCTTTGAATAAATGTTTATTCAAGTCCTTCACCCATTTTTGAATTTTTTTTATTGTTTCGTGTTAGTTGTTCTCTAGGTACAGATGGTCCCTGACTTACAATGGTTCAGCTTTATGATGGTACAAAAGTGATATATATTCAGTATGCTCCTTAACAATATTTCCAACTCATGATGAGTTTATCTGGAGCATCTGTATAGACAACTGTCTTTTTCAAACATTTTTTCTTTTCTTTCAGTCTCTCTCTGTCACCCAGGCTAGAGTGCAATGGTGCGATCTCAGCTCACTGCAACCTCTGCCTCCTGGGTTCAAGTGATTTCCCTGCCTCAGCCTCCCCAGTAATTGGGACTATAGGTGTGCACCACCATGTCCAGCTAATTTTTTCTTTTTTTTTTTTTTTTAGAACGGGGTTTCACAATGTTGGCCAGGTTGTTCTTGAACTCCTGACCTCATGTGATTCACCTGCCTCAGCCTCCCAAAGTGTTCAGATTACAGGTGTGAGCCACTGCACCTGGTCTAGGCAACTGTCTTTTAAAGAGATTATATATATATACATATTCAAAGACAGGCTCTTGCCATGTTGCCTAGGCTGACCTTGAACCTCTATCAAGTGATTCTCCCAGCTTAATCTCCTGAGTAGGTGGGACTACAGACACTTTTAAAAATAAGAAAAAATCCTGCCTTTTGTGTCTTCCCAAATGGTGACCATTTCAGGTGCTCTTCATCTTTGTGTATATGCAGTTTCCATCTGGTGTCATTTTCCTCTGCCAAAAAAGCTGCTTTTGACAATTTTTGTAAATCTTTCAGCTTCTGTATGTCTCAAAAGCCTTCATCTCACCTTCACTTTTGAAAGATACTTTCACTGGGTATGGAATTCTAGGCTGACATTCTTTTCTGGCAAAACTAAATCTGGATGTTTATTCACGTCCTCTGCCCAACCCATAGTTGTTCACTGTCTGCTTGCAGTTTCTAATGAGAAGTCTTGTGGCCATTCTTTGTTCCTATAAACACAAGGTGTTTTTTTTCCTCTGGCTGCTTTTAGGATTTTTCTTTTTCACTGGTTTGGAGGAATTTCATGATGATGTGCTTCATGTAATTTCTCTATGTTTCTATTGGGTTTGTTGAGCTTCCTGGACCTGTGGCTTTATGCTTCCACCAAATTAGGAAATTTTATGGCCATTATTTTATTTATCTATGTAGAGACAGAGTTTTGCTCTTGTCGTCCAGGCTGGAGTGCAGTGGCGCAATCTCAGCTCACTGCAACCTCTGCCTCCCGGGTTCAAGCAATTCTGCTGCCTCAGCCTCCCGAGTAGCGGGATTATAGGCACGCACCACCACGCCCGGCTAATTTTTGTATTTTTAGTAGGGATGGGGTTTCACCATGTTGGTTAGGCTGGTCTTGAACTCCTGACCTCAGGTGATCCACCTGCTTCAGCCTCCCAAAGTGCTGGGATTACAGTGGTGAGCCACTGTGCCCAGCCTACTATTATTTTTTCCAAAAGTCGTCTCTACCCTGCTATGCCCCTGGTCCATGGCTCTCCAGTGAAAGGCACAGTAGGCTGCTTGAAGTTGTCCCACAACTCGGGAGTGCTCTGTGATTTTCCCCATTTTTTTTTCGGTTCCCTTTTGGATAGTTTATATTGCTATGGCTTTGAGTCCACTGAGGTTTTGTTCTGCAATGTCTGTTTTGGTTTTAATCTCCCGGTGCATTTCCATCTCAGGCACTGTGTTTTTGTCTCGGAAGCTGTTTGGGGCATTTTTATGTCTTTTACTCCTTTTCCTAACACGCTCCTGTTTTCTCCTACCTTTCTTAACCATGGCCTTCTGATGTCCTTGTGTACTCAGTAGACGATTATTCTGCTGCCTTGTGTCACTTCTGGGTCTGCTTCTGCCGACTAACTGCCCTTCTCATTGAGTCGTGTATTTTCCTGTTTCTTTGCATGCTGGATTTTTTTTTCTTTTTTTGAGAAGGGTCCCGCCCTGCCGCCCAGGCTGGAGTGCAGTGGTGAGGTCTCGGCTCACTGCATCCTCCACCTCCCAGGTTCAAGTGATTCTCCTGCCTCAGCCTCCAAAGTAGCTGGAATGACAGGCACCTGCCTCCACGCCCAGCTTATTTTATATTTTTAGCAGAGACGGGTTTCACCATGTCGGCCAGGCTGGTCTCGAATTCCTAGCCTCGACTGATGTGCCCGCCTCAGCCTCCCATAGTGGTTGGATGACATGTGTGACCCACTGACACTGGCCTCACGCTTGTCCTAAAAAAGCTAACAGCAAGTGTTTTCCCCTTACTTTTGAGTTTTGCTCTGGGTGCTGTTAAAGTGCCCGCAGCCATCTGGTCTTTTGAGGCC